TGGGATATATTCAAGGTCATATTTTGGCTCTCGTGGACTTGTTTTCATTTTCTTCAGCTTCAGTTTGAATTTGCATATGAGTAATTGATGGTCTGTCCCACATTCTGCCCCTGGCCTTATTTTGACTGATGATATGGAGCTTTTCCATCGTCTTTTTCCGCAGATGTAGTCAATTTGATTTCTATGTATTCCATCTGGTGAGATCCATGTGTATAATCGTCTCTTATGCTGTCTAATGAAGGTATTTGAAATTAACAAATCATTGATTTTGCAGAATTCTATCGTGCAATCTCCAGCATTATATCTATCACCAAGGCCAAATTTTCCTGCTACTAATCCTTCCTCTTTTCTCCCAACCTTTGCATTGCAATCACCGGTAATAATCAATACATCTTGATTACAAGTTTGATCAATTTCAGATTGATGAAGTTGGTAGAATTCTTCTATTTCATCCTCACTGGTTTTAGTGGTTGGTATATAAATTTGAATAATAGTGGTATTAACTTGTAGGCGCTTCCCTGTAGCATTGTACCTCATGGCTGATCTAAATATGTTCTTTTTGATAATGAATGCAACACCATTCCTCTTCAGCTTGTCATTCCCGGCATAGTAAACCATGTGGTTGTCAGATTCAAAATGGCCAATACCAGTCCATTTCAGTTCACTAATGCCTAAGATATCAATTTTAATGTGTTCCATTTCATTTTTGACAATTTCTAATTTTCCTAGATTCATACTTTGTACATTCCATGTTCCGATTATTAATGGATGTTTACAGCTGTTTCTCTTCATTTTGAGTTGTGCTCCCTCAGCAAATGAAGGTCCCACGGGCTTTACTCCATTCGCATCATACGGTCAACTCTTTTTTTTTTTTTTTAGGAGGCAGCTCTTCCCCAGTCGCATTTTGAGTCCCTTCCAGGAGGGGCTCATTTTCCGGCACTGTATCTGGTAGTGTTTCTCTGCTATTCATAAGGTTTTCAGTGATTAAATATTTGGAAGTAGTTTGTCATTTCTTCTTCCTAGTCTGTCTTCATCTGGAAATTCATCTGAAACCTGTCTACCATGAGTGACCCTGCTGGTATTTAAAATACCCATGCCATGGCTTCCAGAATCACAGCAACTCACAATCCAACACAGTATGACAAACTGACAGACGAGTGGTGGTGTCTTTCATTGGATAACATTATTTGTCTGTTATGAGAAATTGGGATTAATAGTATATAAAGCTATAAAGATGATTTGATATAAGGCCTTAGAGATGCTAGAATGCAGTTTTAGATTTCTTCATCAGACATTAGAATTAAATGTAAGTTAATAGTTTGCTTCAGTAACTCAATAGTTGGTATTAACTCTAAACAAAATGTTGTAGGCAGCTTCATTTAGTAGGAAGTAACATGTCAGAGCCCTGGTGTGGCGCTGTGGGTTAATGCGCTGGACTGCAAAGTCAGTTTGAACCACAAGGTTCAAATTTCACCAGCTGCTCCTTGGAAACCCTATACGGGGTCACAGTGGGTCAGAACCTACTCAATGGCACTTAACAACAACAGCAACAACATATAGGATCAAATTGAATGAAGAGAAGCTGGAGCTGAAGACCAGTTAGCTTTTTATAGTAGTCTTTTGAGGAGTGGAAGTAAGATGGGAAAGAGGAGAATTAATGTATATTTGATTAACATGGCTGCATTTTCTTTCTGTTCTTTCAGGATCCTCTGGTGCATTTATCAGAAGACATGATAGCAAGAACTTATAACATTTTTGCTATTATGTTTCGGTATGCAGTAGAGATATTAACCTGGGAAAAAGAAGGGGAATTGCCAACAGATTTAGAGATGGTGTAAGTACAATCCATTTATTTTATGTATTTGAGGAATATTGTTGTTAAATACCATTTCTAACTCATAGCAACCCTGTCCTGTATAGGATTCTAAGGAGTGATTGGTGGGTTGAGGTTGGCAGTTAAGTGCTTATCTTACAGTGCTACACCATGACTCCATTTGAGGAATTACTAAACTTTAATACAGCTAAAGAAAGCTGGACAATGAATAAGGAAGACCGTAGAAGAATTGATGTTTTTGAGTTACATTGTTGGAGGAGAATAGTGAAAGTGCCATGGGCTGCCAAAAGAACCAATAGATCTGTTTTGGAAGAAGTGCATCCAGAGTGCTCCTTGGAGGCCAGGATGGCCAAACTTTGTCTCTCATACTTCAGACATATTGTCGGTAGGGGCCAGTCGCTGGAGAAGGATATCATGTTTGGTAAGGTGGAGGGTCAGAGAAAAAGAGGAAGACCCACAGTGAGATGGATTGGCCAAAGTGGCAGCATCGCTGGACTCAAGCGTGGCAACAATAGTGAGGTTGGCCCAGGATTGGGCAGTGTTTCATTCTGCTGTGCATAAGGTTGCTATGAGTCATTACTGACTGGATGGCACCTAACAACAACAACAACAAAGTAGGACATAATCTCTTTTAAAAATTAGTGTTCAGAAGAAAACCAACCTTGATTTTATAGTTTTTACATATGTGTGATACCATTAATTGGTTGAGCTTTCTCCCTTCTGGTTAGGTAGTGGTTTGGTTTGTGGCCATATTAAAACCATATCGAGGTTCTACCACTGGACTGAGTTGAATACCTTTGCAGAGTCAATAAAGCACAAGTAAACATATGTGTGATTTTCTCTGCTTCCGGCCAAGATCCATCTAATGTCAGCTGTGATATCCCTAGTCTATTTCCTCTTCTGAATCTAGCTTGAATTTTTGACAGTTTCCTATTGATACACTGTTGTAGTGTTTTTTAATTGTCCTGAGCAAAAGTTTACTAGCATGTAATATTAATGGTGTTGTTTGGATGATTTGCACATTCCATTGGGTCACTTTTCTTTGGATGGGCACAAATATGGTTCTCTTCCAGTTGATTAGCCAGGTAGTTGTCTTCCAAATTTCTTTACATAAATGAGCACCTCCAGTGCTGACTACATCCATATGTTGAAACAGACATTTTATTTTGTATTCCTTCAATTTCTAGAGCCTTGTTTTTCACCAGTGCCTTTAGTCCAGCTTGGATTTCTTCTTGCAATGCCATTGGTTCTTTGTGTGTGTGTGTTCCTAATTTTTTTTTTTTTAATTGTAGATTGAGTGAATGTTTACAGGGCAGATCATCATTTTTACATTCAACAAATCATACACCTTGTTTCTTTACAATGATTACAGCCCCTTCCATGTACCATCAGTTAACAGTGTTTCTCTCTATTCACTTTAACTCTTTTTTTTAAAATTCAGGCATATATAATAATTTACAACACCAAAGGACACATTCTGTAAGTCTGCCTCCTGGCTGCTATCTCTTAGGCCCTCTCTTCCCATGACTATAGAGTCCTCAGCTGCTCCCTCTCACCATTTCCCTCCTGTATCTGCCTCCATTTCTGGTGTCGCTACTTCTCTGGATAAGGTCCCGCATTCTGCCCATGATCTTCTCCCTTGATGGTCCTAGGTTCCTTTGTTTCTGGACTGTAAGATTTACTCTCCCATTTTTGTTACAAATCTAGTACCTTTACAATTGTGACAGTTACAATTAGTCATGATAACAATTGCTCACTATTCCATCATTAGAATCTTATTCCCATCTCTTTTAACCAGACCCATGTAGACAAGATGAAAACTATTCAGTGGGTACTCTTTCTTTCCTCACACACTATTAAGCTAAACTCGCCCTTAAAATCTTGTAAACCAGTCACTTCGTGCCTTTATTGCCCCCTCATTTTAGGTTGCCATTGGTTCTTGATCATATGCTACCTATTGAAATGATTTAATATCAAGCAGTTCTTTTTGGTACCGTGACTGTGTAGTCCTTCCACTATCGTTTTATACTTCCTGCATTCATTGAATATTTTGCTCATAGAGTCCTTCAATAGTGTAAACCATGAGTGAATTCTTTTCATCATTTCTTTCAATTTGAAAAATGCTGAGCATGTTCTTTTTTGGTTTTGTAACTTCAGGTCTTTGCATATTCCATTTTAATACTTTGTCTTCTTGAGCTACATAAGAACATAAACACTATTTATGTTTTTTAACTTCCTCATTTTTTCCATTCTTTGCCTCGACATGATTACCTTCTCTAGGTTGAAGAGAAGATTTTACCATATCATCTAACATCTGACATATCAAAGACCATAACTTTGATATCCCATGCAAGTAAAGTTTTACTAAAAGTAGTACAGAAACGGCTGTAACCATACATTGACAGAACTTCCAAAGATTCAAGCCAGATTCAGAAGAAGCCATGAAACAAGGGCTATCATTGCTGATGTCTGATGGATCTTGGCTGAAAGCAGGGAATATCAGAAAGATGTTTACCTGTGCTTTATTGACTTTGCAGAGGTCTTCTACTGTGTGGATTATGACAAGCTATGGACAACATTGCGAAGTGTGAGTATTCCGGAACACTTAATTGTGCTCATGAGGAACCTATTCATAGACTAAGGGGCAGTTGTTCAAACAGAACATAGGAACACTGAATGTTTTAAATTAGAAAAGGAGTGCAATAAAGTTGTGTTCTTTCACCATTCTTATTCAACCTGTATGCTGAGCAAATAATCTGAGAAGTTGGGTTATATGAAGAAAAACATGGCATCAGGATTGGAGGAAGACTCATTAACAACCTGCAATGCAGATGATCACAACCTTGCTTGCTGAAAGTGAAGAGGACTTAAAATATTTACTGATGAACATAAAAGACCATAGCTTTCAGTATCGATTACATCTCAAAGTAAAGAAAACAGAAATCCTCACCACTGGACCAATAAACTGCATTCATATCAATGAAGAAAATTGAAGTTGTCAAGGACTTCATTTTTTTTGGATCAGCCATCAACACTCATGGAAGCAGCAGCCAAGAAATCGAACAATTTATTGTATTAGGCAAATCTGCTGCACAAGACCTTTTTAAAGTGTTGAAGAGCAAAGATGTCAGCTTGAGGACTAAGGTATGCCTGACCCAAGCCATGGTATTTTCAGTAACCTCATATGCATGTGAAAGTTGGACAGTGAATAAGGAAGATTGTAGAAGAATTGATGCATTTGAGGAGAATATTGAAAGTACCACAGGCTGTCAAAAGAACCAATAGATCTGTGTTGGAAGAAGTATAGCCAAAGTGCTCCTTGGAGTCCAGGATGGCCAGACTTTGTCTCTCATACTTCGGACATATTGTCACGAGGGACCAGTCACTGGAGAGGGATATAGTGTTCGGTAAGGTGGAGGGTCAGAGAAAAAGAGGAAGACTCACAGCAAGATGGATTGGCAAAGTGGCAGCATCAGTGGGCTCAAGCGTGGCAACAATTGTGAGGTTGGCCCAGGACCGGGCAGTGTTTCATTCTGTTGTGCATAGGGTCGCTCTGACTCAGTGTCACAACAACAACAACAACAACAACATTTTCTTTCCGGTTGTTTGAATGACCTTTGACTTCCTGTATGATGTTCTTGATGTTATCCCACAACTGTTTTGGTCTTCAGTCATTAGTGTCTGATGCATCAAATCTGTTTCTATTTTGGCTCTCGTGGATTTGTTTTCATTTTCTTCAGTTTCAGCCTGAACTTGCATAAGAGCAATTAATGGTTTGTTCCACAGTCTGCTCCTTGCTTTGTTTCATTTGATAATATTGTGCTTCTTCATGGTCTCTTCCCACATAGGTAGCCAGTCTGATTCCTGTGTATTCATCTAGTGAGGCCCATTTATAGTGTCACTATTTATGTTGAAAAATCATATTTGCAATGAAGAACTTATTGGTCTTTCAAAATTCTGTGATATGATCTCCAGCATCATTTCTCACCAAGGCATTATTTTCCAACTTCTAATCCTTCCTCTTTGTTTCCACAGTCTGTATTAAAGTCTTCAAGATTTCTACCTCTCTTCAGACTAATCTAATAACAATCTCTTTCTTTCTCTCTGTGCTCCACCATTCATTAGTAAATACTAATTCATCTTTGCCATTTGCTTTCACCTTTCTCTATCCCAGAGTTTCTCAACTTCTGAACTGTTGGCTTAACAAAGATTACTTCTTTGTTAAGAAACTGGCTAGTGCATGGTAGGATGTTTAGCAGCATTCCTGGTTTAATCGGTCTGCTAGATGTCGTTGGTAATCTCCTTCCCTGTCATAGCAGCCAAACATTTCTCCAGACATTGCCATTTGGTGCCCTGGGAGAAGTAAAACCATCCCTGGTTGATAATCACTCATAGCCACTTCTTTAGTTTTCAGATTACTTTTCCAGCCATTCCTTTCTGCATTCCCAGACTTGCCATATCCTACTCTAGCACCCTTCCGTTTTTGATAAAAGCCAGTGTACACAGAAGTACACATTCGATATATATGCTCTCCACTGTACTTATAGAACACATGTATCAAGAATGACTTCTTCACACATAGCACTAATTTGTACACAGTATGTAAGCATATTGCTTGGAATAAAGTAAGCTCTTAGTAACCAGCCAGCAGCAAGATAATACACAAATAAAAAACCCAGTATATAATATATGTTTATCCCACAGAGAGAAGAACGACACCTACTATTGCATGCTGTTTAATGATGAAGTTCACACCTATGAGCAAGTTATTTATACTCTTCAGAAAGCTGTTAACTGTACACAAAAAGAAGCCATTGGCTTTGCAACTACAGTAGATCGAGATGTAAGTAATAATTTTTGGTGTCACATAATAAATTGAACTTTTATTAATGGTATCTAATTCCATAAAATTGTGTTGGAGGCTGGACTATTCATACATTCTATTTGAACATTGACCGAGTGAGTGTCTATTTGTTATATCTGTAAGCTATTGCCAGATAGAGAGTATAAAGGGAAACATGAATGCAAGTGCCCTCTCCTAGCAGTGACTAAAAATATGGTTGTGAAAATGTAAATCATAGCAGCCTAAAGAATAAATGTTGTATCGTTCATTATTATTGTTGTTACGTGCTGTTGAGTTGGTTCCAACCCATAGCAACCCTGTATGGGGTTTCTGAGGAACAGCTGGTGAGCTTGAACTGCTGACCTTGTGGTTCAAACTGACTTTGCAGTATAGCACATTAGCCCACAACACCACACTAGGACTCCATGTTGTTCATATAAATATACATATATTAATGGTTTGAAGGCGTTAACATAGCTTTGAGGGAAAATGTTTTTCCTTTGAATTAGTAAATAGGGTAAACACTGTAAATATTAAAAGTTGACCAGAGTTGTTCTGTATTCGAGTTTGTTTGGTTCAAAACTTCTCTATATTGAATAAATTATTTTTTTCGACTAACTTTAAATGTCTTTATTTATAGGGGCGTAGGTCTGTTAGATATGGAGACTTCCAGTATTGTGAACAAGCAAAATCAGTGATTGTGGTAAGTAATACTAAAAATGACTCCATTATTATTATTATTTTTTGTAGTTTAAAACTATTTCAGTATTTCGGCATTTATAATACCATTTTTTTGGACAGATATGCTTGTGAAATAGAGTAGAGTCCAGATGTAGATACTAGTATAATCTAGAAAATCTAGGAGATTACAAATACATTCTAAGGGAGGGCATGAACTTTTTAATCAAGACTAAAACCCTAAAGGTAGAAAAATTAAACATTTTTTTTGGCTCATAAAAACTCTGCACATAACCTATTTCATAAAAATGTCAGGAGACAAATATGTAATTTGTCAATCTATTTATAACAGGGAATGTTGTTGTTGTTAAGTGCCGTCCAGTCGGTTTTAAATCATGTGACCCTGTATAGGGTTTCCAAGGAATGGCTGGTGAGTTTAAACTGCCACTTTGTGGTTCAAATCAACCTTGTAGTCTAGTGCTTATCCTACAGTACCAGAACATCCAGAGAATAGACAGTATTTATAATAGAGAACAGTGCATCTATAGATTATCGTGCAGGCAACAAGCAACAGCACAGACAAATGGACAAAGCATTTGAAAAGCCAGATCACAAGTGAGAAACCCAAGTGGCCAGGGTACATTAAAAGAGGCTCCAGCTCACTCATGATCACTACAATAACAAGGAGACTGCATACCTATTAATGGCAGAATTACAGTGATAAAATGTCTTACTGATAGAGAGTCAGAGAATAGGAATACTAGTTTAAAAATAATTGTGATCATATTTTTAGAAGCAATCTAATAACATGTTTTAAAGCTTTATCATTTCTAAGAATTTATCCCATAAAAATATAAGCACCAGTAAGTATATGTACAAAGATATTTTGTAGTCACAGAGGTGGTGGTGGTTATGTGCCGTGGAGTCGCTTCCAACTCATAGCGACCCTGTACCGGGTTTCCGAGGCTGTAAATCTTTACGGGAGCAAAAAGCCTCATCTTTCTCCTGCGGAACAGCTGGTAGTTTCGAACTGCTAACGTTGCAGTTTGCAACCCGATTCGTAACCACTATTGGAAATAAAATACATATGAATGACTTTGTGTTGAGGAAGTTTGAGTAAATTTATACTATGGATTATGTGGTCACTGACCCCCCACCCCCCAAAAAATCAGTTATAGCTTTATAAGATTGTTGGAGCTACGTTTATGTTGAAAAAAGTAAGATGTGTGCATATATAATGTATGTTGTTGTTTATACATGGAAAAATTACATACTGAGTTAAAGTGGGTTATGGAGATGGAATGAAGTAAGGGGTCCCGAGATCCAAGCAAAAAGTAAAAAATAAAACCAGAAAAATCATTTTTAAAATACTGATAACAAGATTACATCTATGCTATTATTAGTCATCTTAAGGCAATTAGTTGCTGGGCCCAGGGGCTCAATATACCATAGTCTCAGGGGGCACCATGGTCAGTTGGCATAACATAATCCACAAGACAGTGTTCTACATCCTACTATGGTGTGTATTATCTGAGATCTTAAAAGCTCATGAGTGACCATCTAAGGCGCAGCTATTGGTCTCTCCATGTGTGGAAAAAAGAAGAATGATGAGAACTGAAAATGCTTGGAATCAATTAGTCCAGCAACAAATGGCAAATGTGAGTGTCAGTCTCCGTGATTCTGAGACCAGAAGAACAAGATGGTGTCCAGCTACCACTACTAACTGATCTGAAAGAGATCAGATACCTTAGAAAGTCCTGGATAGACTAGATTAAAATGTGGAACAAAACTCAAAATTATTTTTTAAAAAAAGACTCGGCTTGCTATTCAGAAAGAGACTGGAGGAACCTGAGACCATGCCTTTGACTACCCTTCCGGTCTAGAATGGAACTCACCTCATGGCCCAATATTCAGCCAAGCAGTAGATAGATACATAGTGGGGGCAACACTAGTAAGGTATGCTCACTATGGAATGGTCAATCATTCAAAATCAAAACAATCATTCAAAATCAAAAGGGCAGCATTTACCCAAGGGCAAAGTTGAGAAGGGATGGGGAGGTGGAGTGGAATAACTGTTGTAGCATGGCAAGGATTGCAATCATTGGTTGTTTCAATTGTTGAATGTAAAACTAATGATCTTATCTGTCAACCACACTCAATTCACAGTAAAAAGTTATATATGTGTGTATATATATATATATTACAGCTATGCAGTGAGGTTAATTATTTTAATAAGTGGAGTTCTCACGTGGTGCTGTAGGATAAGCACTGGACTGCTCACCGCTAAATTAGCGCTTCAAATCCACCAGTTGATTTTTGGAACCCTATACAGGGTTGCTATGAATCAGAACTAACTTGAGGGCACTTAACAGCAGCAACATAGTTGCATTAAGGAATTAAATTAAAGATATAATCTTTTTTTTTTTTTTTAATCTGTAATTGGAAGAGCTGATTTTCAAGTATAGGACTGAAATTTAGATTACTCATAAGCTAAGCTTTAAAAAAAATCTTAAGAAATAATTATAGCTTTCTAGAAAATTAGGGTCTGAAACAAGTACACAAGCAATGTGGTGTTTTCTCTTAACATGCATATGTGAAAAACTGTTGAATGTATCTTTTAAGTAGTTTTTTTCATCCTGCCATTTCTTTTTAAGAGGAATACCAGTCGACAGACCAAGCCACTCAAAGTTCAAGTTATGCATTCGTCTATTGTTGCACATCAAAATTTTGGTTTGAAACTTTTATCTTGGCTGGGAAGTATTATTGGATATTCTGGTAGGTTGTGTTGTAAATAAACAGTTAAAAGTGCACGCATATGACCTTGCAATATATTGGGGAGGGGGGGTTGCTTTAATTTTACATTTTAAAATGTCTACTTGGAGTATATGCACAGGAAATTCTGTAGTCAAATAATTGCAAGAAGCTCTGGGTAAAGAATAGTGTTTAAAATTCTAATGCAATATAAATCTCACAAACTTTATTTAAAAACAACTTCTTCTGCCTTCCTCCCCTACTCTTAACTCAATGGGGTAAAATAGGGATTGATCTTAGTTCTCTCTTATAATGTTCTTCAGGTAGGAGTGGTGATATGGATAAATGAAATTCTGATGTTTACTATAAAGAATATTCCTAACAGTTGTATTTGAAAAGCTATTGAAAGAGCATTAGCACATTGAACTGACAGTTGAGAGCAGATAATGGAAGGGTAGAGATTTAGAAGAACGTATTTGCTGCCCTTTCAAATAAATGTCTTTCCAATTATTTTTCTTGGCCTTAATTTTTTTAAATGTTTATGTTTGCCATTGAGCATCTATATGCCAAGTGCAGTGTTCTACCTACAGGACTAATGAATAGTCTACAGGACTAATGAATAGTATCAGTGAAGCAAATTTTCTGCTTAAAATTTTGCAGTATCACTTTTAGTATATGTTTATTATTTATGTAAGATTTTCTCTTTATCCTCTTAACTGTTCTGTATTTCGTGACTTTTAAAATTAAAGTTACTCTGTTTTTTTCCTGGTTATTTTGTATTCTTGAAGACAGACTAAAAAAAAGTGATTTAGATGATAAGATACGGAACAAAAAGTTTTACATTTGTTGGTTCTTTTAATGCTTATGTTAGCACATGAAGAACTTTGACAAGTTTTACTATTTAAAAAGATTGGGAACTTGTCTTCTAGGTCCTAAGGCCTGTAAGTGGTAGGTACTCAGTGAATATTTGTTTAATTAACGAGGAACATTTTTGTATAACATTAATAAAATACAGTGGAAAGTATTATACAGAGGTTATACATTGTTTTAAATTTCATATTACACCTCCCTTTTGTCATTATGAGATGTATAGCAGCTTTTCTCGAATACGGCTTACTTAGTGTAAGTGCTTGAAGGATACTACTTTCAGCTGTTCCTCTTTCATTAAATTCTTTAAAGCCTAAGAGGTTATTGCCTTTCTTACAGGCATATAGTTGGTATTCTGGAGTAAGTGTTGGTAACAGTACAAGATTTGGAATTTTTCTCCTGTTTGTGAAATAAATAGTTAATTAATATATTTACTTTTTCTGAATAAATTTGACATGTAATAAAACATGGAATTCTGCAGATCCTTTTGGACAGTTTTAGTAAAATGCCACTTTATTTTAAGTATCTGAAGTTAGATCTTTATGATGACTTTTCTCTCTGTTTCAAGATGGCCTTCGCCGAATTTTATGCCAAGTTGGTTTGCAAGAAGGGCCAGATGGTGAAAATTGTTCTCTTGTGGATAGATTGATGCTTAGTGATTCCAAATTGTGGAAAGGTAAATTTCTTAACTATTTTGAAGGTACAGAGTAAGCTATTTAGGTAGTTATAATTTTAAAACCTCCCCTTCTCCTCCTTATTTGAGAAGTTAACTTATGTATGCTTTTAAAGATTAGCATATGTGTCTTATTCTTTCGGGGGGATACACATTTTTGGTGTTCTGTGTAATAATCTTTGGAAATGAGAAATGGAGCAAAACACTAAAATACTTAGTGTTTTTCTGTATTTATGTAGAATATTTTGTTAGAAAATTGTATTTTAAAGGCTGGGAGATAGACTAAGTAATGATTACTTAGTTAGCATGGAGTATTTGCAGGGACTGGAAGAGTTCTTAAACTAGAAAGAAATGGTTGCACAGCGTTGTTGGTAAGCTAAATATCACTGAATTGTATACTCTTCAATGGATAATTTTATGTTATATGCATTTTACTTCTTGTTTTTAGAAGGTGAAAAAGGCAGTCTTCTCCACAAATAGTTTGAGAAGCACTGTTCTAGGAAATGACAGAGTCACTGAGAAGGAGCCTGCATCCCCAAATGACTGCATAGAGCAGAGTGACACGGCACTTGAAACACTCCTCCTGAACTGTTAAATGAATAAGAAACAAACTTTGTTCTTTAGAAAGGGGTTAGAATTATAAGTGAAAAGCTTTGCATATGAAACTTAAAATGTAATTGACTGTCTAAAAACGTTGACAATGTAGTTTTTCATTTGTTTGGTATGTCCTAATCTTACATTCTGATTTTTTTCTTAACAGGTGTTAGGAGTGTGTATCATCAATTATTCATGAGCAGTCTTCTTATGGATTTGAAATATAAGAAACTGTTTGCTATTCGATTTGCAAAAGTAAGTTGTTTCTCGGTTTTGAAGATTAACAAAGTAGATTATGTGAAGCGTACCTATACAGGTAAGATTGGTGTTCTATTTAAAAACCATCTGTATGAGACCAAAAAGGTCAACAATTATTCAAAAGTAAAGATGAGAAGGAAACTAGAGCACTAGAAATGAAACAAAGCAAAGCACAGTCATGCTCAGCTGTCACTGAATACTGAACTCAACTGTCACCTAACTTGCTGTAAGGAGCTCTGGTAGCGTAGTGGTTACGAATTGGGCTGCGAACCTTAAGGTCGGTGGTTCGAAACTACCAGCCGCTCAGTGGGAGAAAGATGAGGCTTTCTACTCCCGTAAGGATTTACACCCTCAGAAACCCTGTACAGGGTCGCTATGGGTCGGCTCCAACTCGAAGGCACTTAACAACAACACAACAACTTGCTGTGTACACCAAAAACTCAGCAATACACTGTTTTTTACAAAAAGGGAGTAACCATAGCTTATGATTATATCCAGGTTTTCTAAAATTAGTGGTAGTAATGTGTTTTGATTTTAAATTCTACAAAACTTGAAAAATGATCTTTTTATTAGTAGAACAAAATGTTAGCAAAGTGAGACTTTTTTTGCTTATTGTCTCCCATGAAAATATGAATGCTCATCTTGCAGTGTACATTCCTTTGTTTGGTTCAGCAGGTAACAAATGATAAATGAAGAATGTAAACCATTGTGAAGTCATATTGTTTCTATTAGACTGTATATATTATGAGAAAATAGTTTTTGTTGAAATGACATGTAGAATTTAAGAATCATGAACTTTATGTTAATTTTACTGAATTATGCTCAGTTACTATATGTTGTATTTTTCTGAGTTAAAAATATTTTTAACTAAGAAAACAATTTTAAAATCATTTGGGAGTCTCTTTCAAAATACATGTCTGTATTCCTTTCTCAGACTTACCAAAGCAGATCCACCAAGTGAAGCCTTCGTTTGTGTACTTTGAAAAGAGCCACATAGGTGATTCTGATATGCATACAAAGTAATTTGTCTAATTTCATCAGACAGTGAAACTCTTGTGGTTTAGTCTCACCAGTGTGTATTGATAATGTGGTTTTTACTAGCTGTTATTTCCTATTTTGGCTCATGAGCTGCCATTGTATTAGCTACTGTTAAGCAATTTTTACAGGGTTTAATTTTTAGGAATTATTTCTGTTCTCCATCAAATAGCAGTATTATCTTATTGACTTCCTCCAGCACTGACTTCTCATTGTAATTCTTAAACACTTGGTCAATGTGGATTAGAGGTGAATCTCCCCCTTGTTGTTTAGAATTACCAGCAGTTGCAGAGAGATTTTATGGAAGATGATCACGAGCGAGCAGTGTCCGTGACTGCTCTGTCTGTCCAGTTCTTCACCGCACCTACTCTGGTGAGTAGTGCTTGCCTTTTCTTTGTAACTGATAGCTGGCACTCCTTGCCTTTTTTTGCCTTCTTAATAGAACTATGAGCGTTTGCAGAGTGATTATGTGACAGATGACCACGACAGAGAGTTTTCAATCGCAGACCTCTCGGTACAGATATTCACAGTCCCTTCGCTTGTAAGTACTGACAGACTAAGAAGAACTTTTGTTTTCTGTTAACAGAAGTAAAGCCTTAAAATAATGGAAAACTAAGATCTGTGTATTTCTGAATAGAATATTTCATTAATGTGCAATCAGAAGTCAGACACCTTCAACCATACTAAAGCATATCTTTGAATATCAAAGGGGGAGGTGCCATTTAAAGGGGAAAAAAACACCTGTGAACAACTTCCTACTATTAAAATTTTTATTAAAAAGCTCTTAATCCTTACTTTCTCTTAGTCCTTCCTTTAGTTTTGAACTGATGAATATGAGCTAAAATTTAGGCAATTCATTTAATGAATTTGGTCTTAGGATGTTAGAATTAGACAGCATATTGTGTACCATCTCATATTTTGAGTAAGTTCCTTGGTGAGGGGAGAGGTAGCTAAGGCAACTAGAATGATTGGATAATCTTTTTCTAAAAGCATTGTACAGTAATTAAAACTTGATGTGTAATTCACTCAGCAAATATTTATCGAGTACCTATTTTGGCATCCTGGTGTGGCACTGTGGGTTAACGCGCCAGATTGCAAAGCCGTTTGAACTGAAAGGTCGGCAGTTCAAGCTCACCAGATGCTCCTCAGAAACCCTATACAGGGTCACTATGGATCGGAATTGATTTGACAGCACTTCACAAACAACAACCTATTTTTTATAGGTATTCAATTCTAGGCTTCAAGAATACAGTGGTGAATGTTTCTTGGTCCCTGTCCTCTTGGAACTTATAATATGGAGATTCATATATAGTGAATTAAAATTGTAACTAAAACTCTGTAGAATCAGGGTGCTTGAGAGAGAGCAGTAGAATTGGCCTTTTTCTCAATTCAGAGACGGTTTCCCTAAAAAAGGTATCTTTATCTTGGAGAGATGTGGACTAAAGAGGGGAGGGTATTCTTGTGGAAGGACCCACACTTGAGAAAGTCCTGGAGTAGGGAGGAATATTACCTGTATGGGGTAATAGAGAAAGAAGGCTAGTAAGGTTGAAAAATGAGACCAGAAAAGTAGGCAGGGGCCAAATTATATAGACTTGAGGTCATTCGACAGTTATTTTACTGGCCACTTGTCTTTTTCAGAGTTTCTGTTTTGTTTTTTATGATTTTTCCCTATAGATTACTTTTGTTTGCGGATAGATTTTAGTGCAGTCTAAATGTGGTGGCACTATGGGATAAGCTCTGGACTGCAAACCACAATGTCTGCAATTGGAACCCACCTTGGGAGAATGATGAGGCTTTCTGTTCCCTCAAAAGATATAAAACCTCTGGAAACCGTCTTACAGGGCTGCTATTAGTTGAAACCAACTCTGTGGCACTTAACAACGTCTCTTTAAATATGATTAGTGCCTCGTTTTCTCTTTCTTCTTTCTGTTAGGATACTCTTTATTTAAAAGAGAAAGAAAATTCTGTAGATTCTGCAGGGTATAATTCTGCTAATTAACCCTTAACCTTGTTTTGCTGATCAAATGAGACTCATAACCTTGGTTCAGTCAGGGATTGATTGGCATGACTCCTAATTGTTTTGGTTCTACTGACATCTGAGACATGCCCTCTGAAGGTTCTCAGTTGAGAGCCTGGGCTTCTTTCCACTTGGAAAAACTGCCACAGTCATTACTCTGCTCTTCTAGACTTGCTACGTGGCTTCTTAGCCTCTATCCTGCCTAAATTGATTGAGGGGAAAACTGGAAGAGAATTAGAGTCAGTTCCCCACATCTCTATACCAAACCAGTTGCCATTGATCCCTATATATTGGTGAAAATGGAACTTACTCATATTTTTTGAATCAATATTACCTTATAGTTAATTCAGTCTTCATTTCTAGTTGGACCTAGAGTAAGTATTTATATTTCAAGTCATGAGGGGATCTAGTTCCAGTTTATTTTATTAAATGTGTCCTCAGCCAGTATTATCTTTATATATGTATGTATATGATGTTTAATTTAATTTGAAAATATGTGCACACAGCCTTTATTATTATTATTATTCAGTGAACTTTTTCAGTGTCTAAGGGGAGAATTTGGCTCATTTTGAATATGGTGTTAGATTTGCAATTGCAGACTGAATATGAATTACATAAAATGAATAAAAACTGTTATTAGGAGTTCTTGGGTAATGCAAGCAATTTATTGTTCAAAGACTAGCCAAAAGGTTGGCAGTTTAAACCTACCTGCAGGCACCTGGGGAAACAGGCCTGATGACCTGCTTCCAAAAAGTCACAGCCTTGAAAACCCTATGGAGCAGTTCAATGCACACATGGGTCACCAGGAGTAAGTATTGAGTTGCTGTCCACTAACAGCAGTAATGTTATTAAAGCAAAGTGAATTGTAGGCCAGAAAATCAAGAAATAACTATTTTAGGGTAGGTAGGAGCTCTGATAACATAGTGGTTACGAATCGGGCTGGTAACCTCAGGGTCAGCAGTTCAAAACTACCAGCTGTTCCACAGGAGAAAGATGAGGCTTTCTGATCCCCGTAAAGATTTACAGCCTCAGAAACCCTATACAGGGTCGCTATGAGTCGGAACCAACTCCACGGCACATAACCACCACCACCACCAATGAGAAGTACTAGAACCAATACAATAATGTTAGATATTTAATGTTGCAAGTTACATTGAAAAGTTAGCAACAATGTAGATAAAGCCAAGCTGACTGAGTACACGTTTGATAAAGTAAGTTGGAACTAAGAGACTTTAATCACTTGGGCCACACTATTTAGGATAAGGTTTTTTATCCTGCTTTTCTGTTTGTAACTGTGTTAAATATATGTTCTTTTCAGAAGTAGAAATGTCTAGCTAGCTCCCAATAGTAGTTGGCTGATTGCCTTAGTAGTGTAGCGGGTTACACATTGGGCTCTTAACTGCAAGGTCAGCAGTTCCAGTCCATCAGTTGCTCCAAAGGAGTGGAAACCCTATAAAGGTTATAACAATCTACTTCTGAAAAAACAGCTACTGAAAAATCCTGTCAAGCACAATTCTACCGTGACACATGTGGGGTCACCATGAGTCAGAATTGACATGATGGCAACTAACAACAACAACAGAATCACCACCACCGTATTGTTTGTTTTTGTGTTTTTTTAAATTCAGCACCCAAATTTAGAATTTGATCCAAAACTATTCAGTGAATGAATCTGAAAATAAATGCATTGGTTGGTGAGATTTGTACTCTTAATAATACTGACTTATCTCTCAACTGAGCTTTTGTCATCGGCTTTACATCTTGTAAGAAGGCTTATCAGAGTTTTTCCTTAGGTGAAATTTACATTATACTCATGTTTATCTTCCTTAAAATGAGCGAATTGAACAAGCAAAAAGGAAATCCTTTTACTTAACCAGTCAGCATCCCCCTTCATACTTGACTATGACTATTACGTTAATTTGACATCTAAACTTGATCACTGAGCTTTGGGCTTAAATCTTGAGGATGCAATGTTGATTTAAGAGATTTTCAAGGTAAATTGATTGTATAGATCTTCATCTTATCTGCCGATTCTAGAAGTTAATCTATTAAAATACAACTTAACTACATTGTTAGACTATTACCTTAATCATTTTTTATCCTCTTGTTTTCATGCAACTTGCAGTATTGTTAAATACCTGATATTCACTATTGTTGTTGTTGTTATGTGCCATCGAGTCGGTTCTGACCCATAGCGACCCTGTATAGGGTTTCCGAGGGTGTAAATCTTTACGGGAGTAGAAAGCCTCATCTTTCTCCCGCGGAGCGGCTGGTAGTTTCGAACTGCTGACCTTAAGGTTCGCAGCCCGATTCGTAACCACTACGCTACCAGAGCTCACTATTGTTAGGCCTGGTTAAGTGGTTGCCTTGTATCAATAATAGCCTGAAACATACATAGTACAGGTTAGCTATACTCTTAAAAGTATTAGGACTAGAAAGATAGAGGGAGAGTCGTGATCTTTTTGTATTAGAATAAAAAATGTCTTCAAAGGAATATTAGACTCACTGACTTTACTAGGGATATAAAAGGAAATGTAAATTGGTATGAAATGTTTTTCAACTTTAGAGTAAACATATATATTAAAATGATCAGAATTGCAAAGATCAAAATGTTTGAAATTGTAGTCTATTATTGATGACATTAGAGAGACGAGTGGGTCTTGTAATTTGGTGTAAACCTCTTTACAGAGACCATTTGGTAGTACCAGTAAAAATTTAAAATTTGCATGCCATTGAACACAGTAATTCGACTTCTTGGAAACTATACTAAAATACAGTACAACTGTATACATTGAATATTTGTTGTAGCTGTTTGTAATAACACTGAAAACAACCCAAATGTCTTTACTAGTAGAAAACCAAAAACCAAACACGCTGCCATCTAGTCACTTTTGACTCATGACACGACTAGAGTCCGCCGTGAGTTTTATCAGTAGGGCCCTGCTTAAATAAATTATGAGACAAAGACCTAGTGATAATGAAAAGAATGAAAAATCTATGTGAACAGACAAGAGGCAATCTCTAAAATACATCTAGTACAAAAGCATAGTGTTGTTCTTATTGTTAAGTGCCATTGAGTTGATTCCAACCCATAGCGACCAGTATAATACACTATTTTGGGGGAAAGAAAACATAGATAAAATTATATATTCTCATATTTATATGTTGGGTTTTTGTACTTTTTATTGTGAATTGCGTGAAGGTTTGCAGAGTACATTATCAATTTTACATTCAAGAAATCATATTTTCCTTCATTATAATGACCCTGTGTCTCCTGCTTCCTTCATCTTTCCTCTGCTAACCTCCCTCTTGTATATTGCTTGCCCTGCCACCCATGTTAACATGTGTCTACCTTCTAGCCCATGAATAATTTTCTCCCCCATATTGTATGTTTTCAATATGTAAATACTTATTATATGTATTTGTGTGTATATAATGTATATATACCTACTCCTCACTTATCAACGTAGTTAGGTTCCAAGGTTGTTAATTGAAAATCTTCATTACGCAAAATAATCAGAGAATGACTACATCATTACATAACTGCCAAATCGCAACATTACATAACTTCCAAACCACTGAGAATCATGGTCCAGCCAAGTTGACACATAACCTTACCCATCACAGCCAACGTTATTCTTGCCTCACACCTCAGTGTCTGTTACTGCCAGGTGTTTGTTGTTAATGTGCAGACTAGGAAGGTAGTAGCTTTTTTACTATTGTCATAAATGCAGATTGTCAGATAACAAGATAGTCAGTAGATGAGGGATAGGTGTATATGTGTGTATATCTACTTGCCATCTCTAGAAGAAGGTACAGGAAGCTGTTAATGAGCATTGTTGGCTTTGGAAGGGGACCTCAGGAGCTGGGAAACTTTTTACCTGTTGTGTTTTTACATCATAAATATATTTGCTTATTCAAAAATAGATAAATGTATATGTCTGTACATAGAAGGAGTCCTGGTGTGGTGCTGTGGATTAATGCGCCAGACTGCAAAGCCGTTTGAACTGCAAGGTCAGCGGTTTCAAGCTCACCAGCTGCTCCTCGGAAACCCTATACAGGGTCGCTATGGGTCAGAACCGACTTGATGGCACTTTACAACAACAACAATACATAGAAAGTGGGAGTGCAGTATAAGATGTAAGCACTGTAAGTGCACTGTAAGATGAGCACTGGACTCCGAATGACAAAGTTGGCAGTTCAAATCTACCAGCAGCTCCTCAGGAGAAACATGAGGCTTTTTGCTTCTGCAAACCTTTACAGCCTCAGAAAACCCTATACAGGGTTGCTAAGAGTCAGAACCAATTCAACGACATAGAAATGAAAAGATTTTTTAAAATAAACCTTAAGTAAGGAAATTAAGAGGAAATAGGATTTTGTTCTGAATATTAGGGAATCTCTGATACAAACCACTGGATCCTAGAATAATTATACCATACCATTGTAGGTATCTAAATGCTTCAGTTAAGGAATATTTACTGTGTACTTCAGACTCAGACCTTACAGTATAGTTCAGACTCATACCTTGAATTGTCTTTGAATAATGAGCCTTGGATCTTTCTCCTAACATTCTGGCATCTTTTTCCATGATTTTTAATTGTTACTTCATACCTGTGGCAATTGGACTAAATAAATAATTGTCATTTAGAAATATACCGTAATACATTTATGATATGTTATTGTTAGGTGCCGTCAGGATGGTATCAACTCATAGGAACCTTATGCACAACAGAACAAAACACTTCCAAGTCTTGTGCCAATCACAGTCGTTATTACACTTGAGCCTATTGCTGCTGCCACTGTGTCAATCCTTCTCATTGGGAGTCTTCCTCTTTTTCGCTGACCCTCCACTTGATGACCCCCTCCGCATGATGTCTCCAGAAACTTGTCCCTCCTGACAATATGGGCAGAGTATGAGAGATGAAGTGTGGCCATCCTAGTGTCTAATGAGCCATTCTGACTATACTTCTTCCAACACAGATTGGTTTGTTATTCTGGTAGTCCATGGGTACTTTTAATATTCTCCTCCAACACCCTAACTCAAATACATTAATTTTTTTGTGGTCTTCCTTACTCATTGTCCTACTTTCACATGCTAATGAGGCGATTAAAAATACCATGGCTTGGGTCAGAGGCACCTTAGTCCTAAAACTGACTTATTTGCTTTAAACATTTTAAAGAGGTCTTGTGCAACAGTACGTCACTTGATTTCTTTACTGCCACTTCTATGAGTGATGATGGTTGATCCATACAAAATAAAGTCTTTAGCACCTTCAATCTTTTCTCCATTTATATGGATGTTGTTTATTGGTCAAAGGTTTTGGTCTTTGATAATATTATATAGTTGTTTGGAAAAATTGAAACAGCAATGGTGGTAACATTTTTTTTTTTTTTTTTTTTTAACTTTCCTAGTAAATCCTTTTTTATTACCATGGACTTTCATATTCTTTGTTGTAGGCTCGAATGCTCATCACAGAAGAAAATCTGATGACCATTATCATTAAGACTTTTATGGATCATTTAAGGCACCGAGATGCCCAGGGAAGGTTTCAGTTTGAACGATACACTGCTTTGCAAGCTTTCAAGTTTCGAAGAGTTCAGAGCCTTATTTTGGATCTCAAGTAATATTTTCTTTTCCATTGTCAAAACAGTTACAACTTATCAAATGTCAGTGTTGATTTATTCATTATTATTGTTATCTTGCTCAGGTATGTGTTAATTAGCAAGCCAACTGAGTGGTCAGATGAGCTGAGGCAGAAGTTCCTAGAAGGGTTTGATGCCTTTTTGGAATTACTGAAATGTATGCAGGTATGTAGAAATTGACACAGTTTAAAAAGGAAATGCTGATTTTTTTATTCTTTAATTTTAATTCATTGAAGTCAACATTTTTCTGTGTGTGCATTTTCTTCATTTTGGGCACATTTCCAAAAGAGCAATTTGGACCCAGAAGCTGCTCTTAAATTGGAAATTCATAGAAAGTTGTAGAGAGAATGAGATCACAGCAAAGGTTCTGGCATCTACTGCTCTTTTGTATTTGGTCATACTTTTGGTTCCTAATAACATTCTTTCTTTGGCAATTGCAACTGTTTTGGGTTTTGTTTTTTACTATGTTCACATAGAAGTATAGTTCAGTTAGTTATTTGAGAAACCGCTATTTAAATTCTTTTGTTTCCATATTTCTTTTTCTCTTTCCTAGTGTAATATTTATATTATGCAGTATAGTATTTTTTTCCTTTCTGTGTAGTTCTCTTTTCTTTGAAACATTTCTATATAGAAAGCAAAATCTAGAAGTAAGATGAACTGGTATATTTAGCCAATTTTAATTGTAAGAAGACATCACTGAGAATCTAAAGAAATACTATTATTGTTCCTGTAGCAATCTTCTGAAATCTACGTTGTATTGTTTGAGATTTATAAGATTGTCTCTAAAATAATTTGCTCCATACTTTATTGGAATTTTCTATTTGTATTTTAGAAAATGTTATATAAGCACTTAATTTAAGAAATTATAACCTCATACAATGTGAAGCTTCCTGTTCAAACTTGCTCTGTTTTTGTAATCAATGTGTGTTTCTTCTACATCATTTCTTAAAGTTTCTCTGTAAGAGAGCCAATATTTTTATTCATATATCTTTTTATTGCCCTTAAGGGAATGGATCCAATTACACGTCAAGTAGGACAGCATATTGAAATGGAACCCGAGTGGGAAGCAGCCTTTACGCTACAAGTGAAATTAACACATGTCATTTCAATGATGCAGGACTGGTGTGCATTAGACGTGAGTTTCCTGTTGTATGGAATCCCTAGATAGTGCAAACTGTTAACTTCCCCCCTACTCTGACCTACTCTGGGTCACTGTGTGTCAGAATTAACTCAATGACAATTGTTTTTGCTTTTCTTTTATTGTGGGGTGGAGTAGAAAAGGGAGATTCCTAGGTAAATTGTGAGATATGGAGAAAATCTTGGTGATCTCTTAGCTAATGTTAAATTCCGTCAAGTTGATTCCGACTCAGAGTGACCCTGAATAGTGTTTCCAAGGAGCGGTTGGTGAGCTTGAACCACTGACCTTATGTTTCAAACCAGCCTTGCAGTCCAGTGAATTAACCCATAGCACCACACCAGGACTGCTCCTAGCTATTTTCCAAGTTTTATTCTAAGACTTGCATTTTAACTTTTTTAACTTGACTGAATTTATAGATGGAAGGTAAGTACATTTTGTCTTACTTAATAAAACAATGTAGACCACCACTTTGTTGTACTGTGGTGGCGTGCGTGTTGTTGTGATACTGGAAGCTCTGCCACGGTATTTAAAATACCAGCAGGGTCATCTATGGTGGACAGGTTTCAGCTAAGCTTCCAGACAGAGAAAGACTAGAAAGAAGGAGAGACAGACTGCTTCTGAATATTTAGTCACTGAAAACCTTATGAAAAACAAACACTTTCAGCACCAGAGCTGCCTCCACAAAGTAGAATTGACCATAATGACATGAATGGGATCTTGTTTTGCTGATGGGGCACAACTCAAAATGAGAAGAAACAGCTAGTAATTAATAATTCATTAATATTCAACACATAGAATGTATGAAGTATGAATCTAGGAAAATGGAAAGCTGTCAAAAATGAAATGGAATGCATAAACATTGATATCCTAGGCATTAGTGAACTGAAATGCACTGGCATTAGCCATTTTGAGTCTGACAATCACATGTTTAACTTTGCCGGGAATGACAAATAGAGGAGGAATGGTGTTGCATTCATCATCAAAAAGAGCTTATCAAGATCTGTGTGAAAGTCCAAAACTGTCTGTGATAGGATAAGATCCATACACCTCCATGGAAGACCAGTTAATATCACTATTATTCAAATTTATGCAAGAGCCACTAGAGTCAGTGATGATGAAATTGAAGAATTCTATCAACTTCTTCATTCTATAATTAATCAAACATGCAGTCAAGATGTATTGACCAGAGGGCACGGGGGAAGGTAGGATCTCCACTGAGTAGAATCCAATCTGTCTGGGCAGAGCTGATAAAAAGAAGATGGGGATAGGTCTCTTATGGTACAGTAGTGAGTAATTGTTCTCAGGACTGACTAAGGGTTGTAAATGTAAAGGTAGATGTTTGTAGCAAAAGGAGGGGAGTGACTGACTTTGCAGTCCAGGAGTGGAGGTCCCTGGGACCATCAAAGGAGAAGAGCGAAGTGCGAGATCCTACCCAGAGAAGCAGTGACGCTAGAGGTGGAAGCAGAGATGCTGACGTGGAGAGATAGCGTAGCTGGGAACTCTAGACCCAGAGAGGGAGAGGGGTTGTGTGCTGAAGACCGGGGGACAGGCTTTCAGGGTATATCCTTTGGTTGGTTGATGATGCATGGAGGGGATTGTAACCATGGCAATGAAACAATATACAGTTGGATGAATGTAAAGCTAATGTTCCCCATCTAAACTATCACATAATTCACAATAAAACATTTTTAAAAAAAAGATGTGTTGATAATTACTGGTGATTGAATGCAAAAGGTTGGAAAAAAAGATAAAGGATCAGTAGTTAGAAAATATGGCCTTGGTGATAGAAACTATACTGTAAATTGCAAAATAGAATTTTGCAGTAACTTCTTTATTGCAAATACTTTTTTTAAACAGCATAAAAGATGATTTTATAGGAACCTCACCAGACGTAATACATAGAAATCAAATTGAAAACATTTGTGAAAAGAGACAGCCAGAACATCATCAGCCAAAACAATGCCAGGGGAAGACTGTGGAACCGACAATCAATGGAAGACTGTGGAACCGACCATCAATTGCTCATGTAAGTTCAGGCCGATGCTGAAAAAAATTAAAACAAGTCCACAAGAGCCAAAAATGATTTTGAACATAATCCTACCTGAATTGAGAGATAACCTGAAGAACAGATTTGATGCATTAGACACTGAAGACTGAAGACCAGAGAAATTGTAGGATAACATCAAGAACATCTGAGAGAAAGAAGGCAAAAGGTCATTAAAAAGACAAGAAAGAAGGAAAAAACCAAAGTAGATGTCAGAAGAGACTCTGAAACTTGATATCCATTATAGAGATGCTAAAGCAAATGGAAGAAATGAGATAAAAGAACTGAATAGAAAATTTCAAAAGGCAGCTCGAGATAGCAAAGTCAAATATTATTTTAAAAATGTGTAAAGACCAGGAGTTAGAAAACCAAAAGGGAAGAACTTGCTCAGCATTCCTCAAGCTGAGGAAAACTGAAGAAAAAATTCAAGCCTCAACTTGAAATATTGAAGAATTTCTATGGGGAAAATATTGAATGATGTAGAAAGCATCAAAAGAAGGTGGAAGGAATATACAGAGTCACTGTACTAGAAATAGATGGTCGGTGTTTAACCATTTGAAAAGGTAGTATTTGATCAAGAGCAAATGGTACTGTAGGAAGAAGTCCGAGGTGCATTGAAGGCATTGGCAAATAGCAAGGCTTCAGGAATTGATGGAATACAAATTGAGATCTTTCAATAGACTGATGCAGCATTGGAGGCACTCATTCATCTATGCCAGGAAATTTGGAAGACAGCTACCTGGCCAACTGCCTGGAAGAGATCCATATTTGTGCCCATTCCAAAGATAGGTGACCCAACAGAGTTAAAAAATCATCACATATCATTAATACCCCATGCAAGCAAAATTTTGCTTAAGAGCATTCAAAAAAGGCTGTAACCATACGTTGTCAGAGAACTTCCTCAAGCCAGATTCAAGAATGCATTGTATTATTGGTGATGTCAGATGGATCTTGGCTGAAAGTAGAGAATACCGAAAAGAATACCTGTGCTTTCTTGACTATGCAGAGACTTTCAGTTATGTGGATTATGACAAGCTATCAACAACATTGCGGAGAATGAGTATTCCAGAACACTTAATTCATGAGGAACCTGTAAATAGACCAAGAGACAGTTATTCAAATAGAACAAAACAACACTAAATGGTTTTAAATCAGGAAAGATGTGTACCAGGGTTGTATTATTTTACTAATTTATTCAATCTGTATGCTGAGCAAATAACCTAAGAAACGATTATATGAAGAAAAACATGGCATCAGGATTAGAGGAAGACTCATTACAACCTGCGATATGCAGATGATACAGCCCTGCTTGTTGAAACTGAAGAGGACCTCAAATACTACAGCTTTTGGTATGGGTTGTACCTTAGTGTAAAGAAAACAAAAATCCTCACTACTGGACCAATAAATAACATCATACGTAGAGAAAAGATTGAAGGTGTCAAAGGCTTCATTTTGTTCAGATCAGCCATCAGTAGTCATGGAAGCAGCCATCAAGAAATCAAATTACATACTGCATTAGGCAAATTTGCTATCAAGACCTCTTTAAAGTGTTGAAGAGCAAAGATGTCAGTTTGCGAACTAATTAATGTATGCCTGATAAAAGCCACAGTATTTTCAATAACTTCATATACATGTGAAAGTTGGGCAGTGAATAAGGAAGACCGTAGAAGAATCAATGCATTTGAGTTAAAGTGTTGTAGGAGAATATTAAAGTACCATGGACTGCCAAAAGAACAAACCACCCAGTTGTACCATGTTGAGTTGGCATTGTAAGAACAAACCAATCTGTGTTGGAAGAAGTTCAACCAGAATGCTCCCTGGAAGCCAGGATGTCCAGACTTTATCTTTCATACTTCAGATATATTGTCAGGAAGGACCAGTCCCTAGAGAAAGATACCATGTTTGTTAAAATGGAGGGTTGGAGAAAAAGAGGAAGACCCCCCCAATGAGATGAATTGGCACAGTGGCCCCAGTGGTAGACTTAAATGTAGCATTGGTTGTGAGGTTGGGACAGGACCAGGCAGTGTTTAGTTCTGTTGTGCGTCGTTACCGACTAGATGGCACCTAACAATGCGTATGGTTGCTGTGAGTGGTTACTGACTAGGTGGCACCTAACAATAACAGTAACATGCAGGTAGAGGTGTCATTTACTGAGGTGTGTATAGCATGTAAAGTCCAGGTGGAAGATTGAGTTTCATTTACCTCTTGATATTTGATATCAAGATGTTCAGGGCAAATTTCATTTTTTGTTTTTAAT